CGGGACCACCAGGACCCTCTTCCAAGCATGACAAGCTGGTGGGTGCCCGCTAGGATCCAGGAATATTTGGGTGGGGGGTATGGGGCTATGGAGGAGCAGTATGCTTCCACTAGCCCTCAGGCAACATCCCTGTGTCACCGGGCATCCCAACCCCGGTGTCAGTGTCTGACATCGCCCTCCTGCTTCTCCCCCAGACCTTCATTGACATGGAGGGACCCGTGACATGGAGGGCTCCGGCTTCGGTGGCGACCTGGAGAGCCTGCGGGTGAGTGTGGGTCCCCTCCTGCAGGCAGGGAGCAGGGAGACATGCTCAGCCATTGACCCCTCCTTTTCTTCTAGGGTCCTCGGGGGCCACCCGGTCCCCCGGGGCCACCTGGCGTGCCCGGTTTGCCAGGGGAGCCAGGACGGTTTGGGATGAACCGCACCGACCTGCCAGGACCGCCGGGGCTGCCGGGCAGGGATGGGATCCCTGGGCCCCCGGGGCCGGTGGTAGGTGTATGGGGTGGCCATGGGGACCCATGCCAGGGCCACCCCACAGTGGTGGGGCTGTAACTCGCCACCTGTGTTGGTGGGAGGCTCGATGCCTACCAGCCACACAGGGTTTCCCAGCACTGGAGCCAACTCCTGGGTGTCTTTCAGGGTCCTCAGGGTCCTCCTGGAAGAGATGGGGCAGCTGGGCAGCCAGGGCCCAAAGGAGAGCAGGTGAGTGTCCCCCAGGACCACATCACAGCTCCCCGACAGGGCAGCCAGCACCCCTAGGACATGTCCAGGAGGTCTCAGCTCCCTCTGTCCCTGGACTGAGGAGCACCAACCTGTTCCTGGAGCAGGGCAGCTTCTTCACACCCTCTTCTCCTTCTTCCTCCTCCTCTCCAGGGTGATGTGGGTGATCTCGGCCTCCCTGGTGCACCGGGACCCAAGGTACTGTGCCTGGGGTGGGTTTCTTGGTGGGAGATCCCAACGCATTGTAGACTGGAAGCAAGGATGCTACTTGGGGGGCCACTGTGGGCCAGAGTGGGGAGCGGGATGCTGGTGTTTGGGTTCCTCCCGGAGCGGAGCAGAGCAGTGCTGCTGCTCGAGGGGGCGTAGAGCTGCCCCCCACCCCCAGGACACTGGCGGGGCTCCTGCCACCCCCGCTTGGCTTTGATCCAGGCGCCGCTACCATGCAAAGTGGGCAGGTGAGCCGAGTGGGGTGCTTTGAGGCACAGGAGGGGGTTTGCTGGAGGGGGGTTTGGGTGCCCACACCCCACTGGGAAACACCCCATCTTCTGTGCATCACTCTCCCACCTTCTTGCCCGAGCTTATTCCCACCCCGCACCCCCGAGGCCGGAGGTAAAGGCTTCCTGGGATGCGCATGATAACCCTCCCCTCCCTTGGGGACCAGGATGCTCCTTGGCATGGCCCATCCACCACAGCCTGAGCTGTGGCAGGGTCCCCAAA